CGGCGACAGAGTTTGGAGTTTGAAATGCTGATCCCAGAGTCTGCAGATCGCCGTCATGCGTCTGACCTCACTGTGAGCGCGGGAGGCTAATGACAAGGCCGAGGCGGAGAGAGGACCAGAGCCGGGTCCACCGTGGTGAAGGGCTCTCCTCCTCGGGGCCCGTCTCACAGCAGGGATCAGACTGAGCAGAACCACGAGCAGTGAAAGGAATGGATTTGACATGTTTGGGAGTCTCTCAATAATTTGTGTCTGAATTTATCCTTGCACAAAACCATTTAAAATCCACTTTTTAACTTTAGTAAAGGATGGTGTAAGGAAACGATCACATTCAACCTGCGTTTTATTACCCTGTTATTAGCAGAAAATCTACCCATTTTGTAACATTCCTCACCAATAAATTATCCATCCATCCATTTTCTACCCTTTAATCCATTTCTGGGTCAGGGGGGTGGCAATCGGAGATGCCACCCAAGTCTCATAGCACCAGCCCCTCACTGACCCTCTGCAGGTGGTGAGTCCACAGGAGGACGGCTGCTCTGAGTGTGAGCATAGCCTTGATCTTTCAGTGGGGGCTTTGGGCAAAGTGGGGTTAAGTGTCTTGCCCAAGGACACAACGACAGCAGTCATCAGTGGGAGTCGGTGGAGAAGATGTAGAGGTGGGAAATGAACCCACAACCTTCAGGCCTGAAGGCCAATGCTCTACCAACTGAGCTACTGTCGCCTGTATTTCAATCAATCAATCAAAGTTTATTTGTAGAGCGCCTTTCATACACATGGCAACACAAAGCGCTTCACAGTCCACATCACAAATCATCACATAAAACAAACACCAGAATCACAATTAAAACATTAAAATCACACAAAAGATTAAAACACAATTAAAACATTAAAATCACACAAAAGAATAAAACCATTAAAACTTTCAAAATTACACAAGAAATTTAAAAAAATAAATAAATGACAGCAGTGCATTAAAAATGGAGATAAAATCCTTCAGTTGTATGCACAGGCAAACAGAACAGTCTTTAACCTGGATTTGAACATTGACAGAGTAGACGCCTCCCTCACATTTTCAGGGAGATTGTTCCAGATCTTAGCTGCATGGATCTGAAACGCAGCCTCCCCATGTTTGGTTCTCACTCTGGGCACCAGCAGGAGGCCAGTCCCTGTGCTCCTCAGAGTCCGGGCCGGTTCATATGACACCAACATGTCACTAATGTATTCTGGTGCAAGGCCATGGAGAGACTTGTACACAAGCAGAGCCGTTTTAAAATCTATTCTTTGAGCCACAGGAAGCCAGTGCAGAGACCTGAGGACCGGACTAATATGGTCATACTTCCTGGTTCCTGTCAGGACTCTAGCTGCTGCATTTTGGATGTACTGCAGCTGCTTACAGGTCTGTTTGGACAGACCTGTAAGCAGGCCATTGCAGTAGTCTAGCCTGCTGGAGACAAATGCATGGACAAGAATCTCCAAGTCTGCCCTGGACACTATATTTCTAACTTTGGCAATGTATTTGACCTTAAAGTGATAGTCTGTAACTCTAAATGAATTACACATTTTAGGAAATGTGTTAAATTGACCTCCTGGCCTTAAATGTTGATATAAAATAAGTCATTTTATTAATTCTAATATTACAGGTAAGTCCCGCCTTCCCTGCTCTTAGCTATAGTTCAGAAACCAATCGAGTCATGCCAAGGGCTGTCAATCAGCTTGTTGTTTGTTTTCGCGGAGCCTCCAAATCAAGCCTCTATTAGGCTCTGGAACTACATGAAAACTGAACAAAGAATTCTGAACATCTGCGCTGAGGTACTTATGTATATACTGAACCTATATCCATAATAATTTATATACTGAACCTATATCCATAATAATTTATATACTGAACCTATATCCATAATCATTTATATACTGAACCTATATCCATAATCATTTATATACTGAACCTATATCCATAATCATTTATATACTGAACCTAATATCCATAATCATTTATATACTGAACCTATATCCATAATCAGATCCTCTTCAGATGTGTCCTATAATGTGCAGTTCATGATAATAGCTTGTTCCGGGTTTGCCGCGATTGCTTTTTTTGTGCGTAAAAAACTAATTTTTTTCATTAACTTTCACAAATAATTCTGAAAACCTCCGTGCATGTGTATTAATAATGTACATGTATAATGTGTTCTCTGATTAACATTTATAAGTGTTACGGAAACGTAGGCGTAGACCAATCAGAAAGGAAGGGGGAGGGAGCTTGCGTCTTTTTTTTCTAATCAAGCACCTCTCTCTTTCTGACAAACTCCAGACAATCACTTTAATAATGTAATGGACATAATAACTTTTTTGTTAGGTTTCAAATAAGACCGCACATCCCTGTAGTCTGGACTAGTGTGCTGGATTAAAAAAGTGCAAGGCACTGAGGCCCTTCATCAGACATGATATCTGATGAAGGGTCTCGACCCGAAACGTCAAAACGTGGTCTGTAAATGAAATGCACTTATTGGGAGCAACATACTGTAGCTGTGCAGATTTGTTATACTGTTTTCACGATAACTTTTTGGTTCACTATTTTCAAGAAGATTATCCAATCAGAGAGCAGACTCTCTTGCCAGTTTGTTAGAGCCAAGACGGGATACATTTCACAGATCTTTCACAAAATGTGGAAGATCTGTGTAACACATTTGTTTAAATTAAAGCAGATAATAAAATAAGTTTAAATATTTCAGTTGTGTACTTATGCAATCCACGTACTGGAGAAACGTTAAGTAAGTAAGTAATCTTTATTTATATACCGCCTTTCACACACCAGAGTCACAAAGCGGTTTACAATTGATATTTTTGGGCATTTGTCCTCTCACTCCACACAGAGATGGGAGCAGGGTCGCCGAACAGGAGGCGCATGCCAGACCTATAATACATATTTTACGCAGACACGGGGAGGACATGCAAACTCAGAAAGGCACTGGTCCGACCGGGATTCGAACCCAGGACCTTCTTGCTGAGAGGAGAGTGCTATCCACTCAGCCACCGTGCCACCCAGTATGTCACAGTCTGTTTCCAACAAAAGTGTGATTGTAATTGTATTGACTTATTTAGACTTCATGCATGTGCATATATCATACTTTAATTTGAGAATGTATCTTTACAGTGAGCTGTTTAAACACGATATACACACTTGGATTTACTGTCTTTTGGCCTTGAAGCCCAATGTCTTTACTTTTTAGGGATCTGTGTATGCTCAACTGAGTATGTAGTTTTGATGGTTGATCATTTAGACGATGATGATGTATGGATCATCATCAGACTGGCGACTGTTGAAACCGGATATCTGATGTGTGTCCTAATTACTGTATACAGAGTCACTTCCACTACCTCGTTTTACTACAAACTGGCAAGAGCAGTGCAGTCACATTTTGGCAGCGCCACATTCACACTGTGTTCAAACACAGCTTTATGCAGTCCAGATGACGCATACAGCACAATATTGCTGTAATTGTGACATTTCCAACCACAATTTAACAGTATCAAATGTTTGTTCTCAAAGGTTTTCCAGAACTTGGACTATTCTACTGTAGTAATGACTGTTTAAGACATACTGAGTATCATTCAATACTGCATTTTATTATGAAGCGGCCATATCCCTGACCTGACCTTGTATGTATACAATATAATATATAAATAACACCATTCTATACCATTGATAGTTTTTTCAGAGGAAAAGCCTTTAACAATGAAAAAATATAAAATGAAATATTGTGTTTGTTTTGGCATTCCACAAATGATCCGCCACAGATGATCAAAAGTTGAAGAATATCCTAAATTAGGGTCAAAAAGAGTCAAAAAGGACCCAGGGCTGTAATCAAAATTCAGCCCAGAAAAATTTATAATTTTTTTTTATTTTTTAATCACTCTGGCGGTTCAGTTTAACATAAGGATTGTTTAAAAAAGAAAAAAACATTTAAACAGGCAGCTTTGGAGGTTTCCTGGACCCACAGACCCGCCCGCAGAGTGTGCACTTTTGAGAGAGATGCCGAGAAACATCTGTAACACTGACTGGCAGCTGTGTGCCCATGCGTTGACTTGTGCCACTGTATTTTTAGATCAACTTCTCGTCATGCTGTTGAAATATTGGTCAATGTCTTGTGAAAATCGGCTTCGATATTGCTGAAGTGTAATTTTTGTGGACCCAGGGAAAGTTCATTTAAATTGTGTCTGTGTGTATGTGCCTTGAAAGCTGTGACCACTTCCTCTTTTTACTGTGACTGATACTACTACTTCCTCACATATTGTACTCAAGACATTGGCACCTGTTTCTGCACAGACAGTTCCGACAGATGTATGAGGACACACTAAAACATTTCTGATACGTTTATATCAAAACAGTCATGTTTTACTTCACACTCAAATCTGTTATCTGGCATTTTTTCCCCATAGTGTTTGAAAAAGCACGATGGAGGCTATGAAATGTAACTTTTTTTAATATTCAGCCCAAAATTAAAAGCTAAGAAGTCAGACTATTTTGTTGTTCTAATGTTACTTGTAAGATCTTGTAAAAAGTTGGTTGTGATTTGGTTTATAAAGATTAAGAAACAACCTGAAGACTGACAGAATAACTAGATAAAGGGACATTACATTAAAGAGACCAGTTTTCTGCTAAACATGCATGTATATATACCGTATGTATTGTGTATTACAGGTCTATATAGGTCTATGCTAACAGTTAAGAGCAGCTAAGTTAGCATTTACAGCCATTTATACTGTGTATGTTATGTGCTCCTTGTGGCTCTTACTCACTGCCCTGTATGTACACTGCAACACTGACATTTCCCCGCTTTGGGACAAATAGAAATTCTTTTATCTTTTTTTCTATTGGAAACATGCCTAGAGACCTGTTACAAGTGGAAGTCATCGTGAAGAATTGTTGTATATATTTACGCCATGGTGTCCCTCTATCCAAAACTTACAATGCACCAACCAATGTTATTTGTGTTTAGGTGCGTTACCTGAAGATCATTGAGAAGAGTGGGTACCAGGCCCTGCCATGGGTGCGCTACATCACTCAGAACGGAGGTGAGCCAACAGAGATTGCCCCTGCATACCCCCTCCCGCCAGTGTAGACAGGGCATAAGTGAAATGAATTATGCATTGGGAATTATGTTTTTCACAAGAGAATTAGCTTTAAAATGATGTATAACATGTCATGCTAGCCTCACATAAACCTCGATCTATCTATCATGTATGCAAGTATATATCAAAACTTAACCTGTTAATGTTCCCTTTTTAAGAAAGCAATGGATTTTTTCCTAGGCTATAGGAACATTAGTAACAACAAATATTTATTTTCAATATTGTATTTATTTATTTATTGTTTAGCCCCTAGTTTGTTTAATTAATGGCCTCTGAATGGCCAAGTGATGGAGATGCCCCAATGAGGCAGATTTCACTTCCAAGCTTCAAGTAGATGACTCAAAGTGATCCACCAAATGCTTGAGGAAACTTTTAAAGGGTCAGGTTTACTTCAACACCTGCGCGTACCCCTAAGCGTACATAAGTGTCCACGTTCTCCGGTTGGGAAACACACCAGCGGGGCATGCCCATATGTGCCACTGTGCAGCGCTGAGGCAACTATTGGGCAACTCTCTGCAACACGGTGGGAACTTATGTTTTAAAAAAGACATGAGGCAATGTGACCACGTCCGGAGAAATATGAGAAAGTGAACTCTTCGTGGCTTCATAATTCTTTTTTTTTTCTTTCCTTCTTTTGTTCAGAGATTACCGTATTGCACATGCCGGCCTTTTTCGCTAATGTTGCCACTAATTGCCAAACATCCTCCTCTCATTTCCTTTGACTTTTCATTGGCTTTTGGGTGGAAACCTCAGCTGCTGCCCACTGCTTTTCTCTCCCAAGCATTATTTTATTTGTCCATTTGATTAACTTTTGTGTCATTTCCTCCCCCAGATTATCAGCTGCGGACCCAGTAGGCGGTGCTACGGACCTCGAGAGGAAGGGGCGGAGTCGAGTTTGCTAATTCTGTTTCAAAGGCAAATCAGCGCTCCTTCATATCCATTTTTTTATCTTTTTTTTTTCTTTTTGCTCAAGATGTTTCCATTTCTGATCAATGCAAGTGTCTGAAAAAGGCCTTTTCGAATTTTAGCCTGTGAGGTCAAAACAAACTGGAGAAATGTTTACGTCTCGCCAAAAGGTGCACTGTTAAACTTTTCCACGCGGTTTGCCACCTGCCCTGTTGTTAGGGCTCTATCCGGAATGTTCCACAGTCTGCTATTTAGTCGCATTAGAACTTTCTGAACGATCTAAAGCGATTTAAGGAGCGTAGTTAGGGCTGGGGTACAAAACTTCCTCCCAATCCATAAAACCCTCATGTTTGCCTCAGCAGAAAGAGTTTTGTAAAAGTGAAATCAGACTTGAAGATGCTGCCTTGATCTTATTATGAAAAAAAAATATTTTGTATATTTTGAAAGAAAGTCACCATTTGACGCTTTGGGCTGAGAGCTGATTGGTTGAGACAGGATGGTCCTCTCTTTTTCACTTTTCTGTCTTTACAAAATCCGATTTTAAAATGTGGCAGAGGCCAAAAATTACATTCACGTTAACTAGTAACTAGTTTGAAAGCAAGAGACAAGTTAGAAGTTTTCAAAAATGCAAAAAAAAAATGGCAAATTGGGTAAAAATGGTTCGATCCAGTTTCACAAAATGGACTGTTTTTTCTACACAACCAGGTTCACATGTTTCTTGCAGAATCTAATTAAATTGGACATGGCAAGTTGTATAGCATAAACGTTTATTGCATGGCTTAAAGCGCCTAAACGTTGATTTCTCACACCAATCACTCAATCCTTACAAAATACCAAACTGTGGAGCATTCACTAGTCCATGAAGCCGGCGAGGGACTTTCCGCAGAAAACTCCTAGTGCATCTTTGGCTCCATGAATTGTACACAATCAGCGAGATTATCGTACTGATACTGTAACCGCCTCTCGTCAGATCAGATGGACTTGGAAAAAGCTGCTCTGTTGCGGCTCCACGTCAGTATAAAGTCAATGATTATTATCTGTATATATTGTTACATGTCATAAGTCAGTGTTATTAGCTACTCCATAGTGTATTAAAGCGAATGCCAATGATATTTGCCAAGCCTCGAAGCGGCCGCTGTTGATTTGATCCATGTGAGGCTCGTGGGCTTTGTCCAGGGTGAGAGGTGTGGTGCGGGTCGTTGGTGCTGTCCATATTCGTAATGACCTCGTGATCTATGTCCAGAACCAGGTATTTCAATATATTTTTGACCCATTTCAACGCTCTATACTCGATGTGTTACACAAAGAGTCAAAATGAGTTTCCTCTGTAGAGTGGCTCAGACTGCTGCCCTCACGATCCGGCAACAGATAGAGCGCAAGTAAATGGATGGATGGACTTGGTCCTTCCATCCATTGAAACCACTCTAATTTCAGACAAAGGAATGAAAAAAATGTGTGGTTTATGCTAAACCAGGCGTTCCCAAAGTCTTCTTCATGTACAACCCTTAATCAAAGGGGCAACTTTTTTCGTGAAACTATTGCTAAAAGTATTCTTGCAAATCAATGTTGTTGTTTTAATACACTTTAGAAAGTATACATTTAGAGTTACAATAGTATATTCAATATTCAACTAAATTCAATGTTTGTGTACAGCTCTAAATAACAGCAGCATTCGTCTCAAGACTTTACAAAGTCGTTGATTCACAAACAACCGATAAGAGAATTGAACAGTAGGAAACTAAATATTAAATTGTATAATTTGGTAACACACAGGTGCCATCGGTCCATAGGGAGCAGGATGACCACAATCCATAAATGTTAATAAATGTGCATAAATGTTTTCCCACTTTCAGTATTCTATGTTATACAAATGTATTGTGCTGCAAAGGATAGATTTCACTAATGCAAAAGCAAAGTCATTAGTTGTGTCAGGCATTTCAAGAGTTTCAGAGTTTATCTGAAGGATCATGCTAAAATATGGACATTAAGTCTGTTGTTTTCCGTTTTGTCTGTATATTTCCTTTCCCTGACCAGTCAACACTCCGCTCTTTGAAGTATACCTCACAGAACATCACACCATCAACATGAACAGTATTAAAACTGCATTTTCAGTGTTTTTCTTACTTTGGAAAGTTCCCTGAGCGGCTCGTACCAAACCTCTCCTGTGGAAACTCTGCTAAACAACAGTCGCACTTGTTGTAAATTTGTGTTTTCCAGTCGCACACCTGTTTTCCCTCCCCCCGTCTGTAACCTCACTATTTCAAATCATTAAAAGTCTATTTAGAAACCTTTCCACAGCCTCTGCGTCATTTCACGCTGATGTCAGGGTCTTCACACCGAGCTGCTACGCGGTCAGTGGCGGGCAGCGGTCCAAAGTTTAATCTGGAGGGAAAAGTACTCCAGAGAGGGAACAGGGCAGAAAAGACTTCCCACAAGGCACTGGGGCATTTGGGATGTGTGGAATTAGTAAACAACAATACTGTCATTATTTTTCTTGTTCATGATTTCAGAGTTTTTATTTTAACAAACTTAAACTATACAGAATATTTTTATTTAGATCCATATTTAATTTATTAATGTATTTTTAAAATAAATATATATTCTTCTTCTACATGTAGCCTGGATGTATTACCTCCTAGATTTCTTAAATCTGTTCTGAGCAGTCTTTTACCTTCACTCACGCATATAGTAAATATGTCTCTTGAATCTGGAACATTCCCAATGGCCCTGAAAACGGCAGTCATCAGACCCCTCCTAAAAAAGAGGAGTCTGGATGCCTTGGCACTTAAGTTATCGGCCCATTTCAAATCTGCCTTTCATGGGTAAAATTCTAGAAAAAGTTGTCTATCAACAACTTACAGAATTTTTAATAATCAATCACTCTTTTGATATGTTCCAGTCTGGTTTTAGACCCCACCACAGCACAGAGACCGCTCTAGTGAAGGTAACAAATGACATCAGACTTAACACTGACGCAGGAAAAGTCTCAGTTCTTATCCTGTTAGATTTAAGTGCTGCTTTCGACACTGTCGATCATGGTATCCTCATTCAGAGACTTGAGGACTGGGTTGGTGTTTCTGGAACAGCCCTAAGCTGGTTTATATCCTACCTACAGGACAGAAAGTATTTTGTGGAGATCGGAAACTGTATCTCAGACCATCTGGCCCTAACCTGCGGAGTGCCACAGGGCTCAATCCTGGGGCCTCTCCTGTTTAATATTTACATGCTGCCTCTGGGTAGGTTAATACACAGTAATAACGTGTCCTATCACAATTATGCTGACGATACTCAGGTCTATGTGTCCCTGACAGCAGGAGAACATGGACCAGTGGACTCGCTCCTTCACTGTATCCAACAAATCAGTGATTGGATGCAAAATAACTTTCTCCAGCTAAACACAGAAAAAACTGAAATTATTGTTTTTGGACCTCAAAAACAAAGAGAGCGTTATCTGCCACCTCCAGTCTCTCTCCCTAAAACCCTCAACTCAGGTCAGAAATCTAGGAGTAATAATGGACTCAGACTTAAATTTCAATAGCCACATATCATCTGTGACATCATCAGCTTACTTCCACCTAAGAAACATTGCTAAAATTAAAAACATTGTGTCTAAAGCAGACTTGGAGATTCTTATCCACGCATTTGTCTCCAGTCGATTGGACTACTGCAATGGCTTGTTCACAGGTCTCTCTAAACAAGCGGTAAAACAGCTGCAGTACATCCAAAATGCTGCAGCTCGAGTCCTGACTAGAACCAGGAAGTACGACCACATTAGTCCGGTCCTCAGGTCTCTGCACTGGCTTCCTGTGGCTCAGAGAATAGATTTTAAAGTAGCTTTACTTGTGTACAAGTCTCTCCATGGCCTCGCACCAGGGTACATCCGCGACATGTTGGTGCCATATGAACCAACTCGGGCTCTGAGGAGCACAGGGACTGGACTTCTGTTAGTGCCAAGAGTCGGAACTAGACATGGGGAGGCTGCGTTTCAGATTCATGCAGCTAGAGTCTGGAACCGTCTGTCCGAGAGTGTGAGACAGGCGTCTACTCTAGCAGTTTTTAAAACTGAACTGAAAACAGTTCTTTTTAGCTGTGCATACAAGTGAATGATTTTATATTTGTTTTTATCTTTAATCTTTGTAATGCACTATGATTATTTATGATTATTTATGATTGTAATCCCTTGTGTGATTTTAATGTTTTACGGTTTTTAACTACTTGTGTGATTTTATATATCTTGTGCTCTTAATCTGTCCTTTTATGTTTACTTAAATTCTAATGTTTGATGATTTATGCATGATGTTATATGGGTTGTGAGGCGCTTTGCGTTGCCTTGTGTAGGAAAGGCGCTCTATAAATAAACGTTGATTGATTGATATTATAGGGACGTGTGTACACAATGAGCTTTAACAATGAAGATACATTTTGCCAAATTTTAGCAGTTCTCACTTATTTTTCATCCTTTTTTGCAGTGAACTATAGAAGCGCTTTGTCAGTGTCTATAAAAGGAGCTATATAAATAAGATATAATTTAATTGCAGCTCACACATGAAGCACTTTGGGAAGCTGGTGCTGTTGTGAGTGTGCTAATAAAGCTGACCTTGACATACAAGGGTATACATGGATGTATACCCTACAAGTAGTTGTAAAATGTTGATCTGCCAATAGCATTTTAGAAAATCAAACGATAAAAATGATTGGTCAAAAAAAGACTAATGAAATTATAGAGGACTATGTAAAAAAAAAAAAAATAGTTTTATAAATGTGCCATATTCTGGAATTAAACGCGTGGATGAATGGTGAATGGTGTGAATGGGTGAGTGGTCCCTAAAGCTCTAGTACTTTTTTGTCAGAAAAACAAAGGGTCTTGACAAGTAATATTTTCTGAACGAATCAGACCTGTTTTTATCCTAGAATAAAACAATAAATCTTTTTGGGGGTTTTTAAGGTGA